TTTACACTATATTTAGTAATGCCCTGCTAGATTGCCTAGCCAGCTTAGCATTCCAGAATAGCATTTGTACACTATATTTAGTAATGTCCTGCTAGATTGCCTAGCCAGCTTAGCATTCCAGAATAGCATTTGTACACTATATTTAGTAATGTCCTGCTAGATTGCCTAGCCAGCTTAGCATTCCAGCAGAGCATTTTAACACTATATTTAGTAATGCACTGCTAGATTGCCTAGCCAGCTGAGCGTTCCAGCAGAGCATTTTTTCACTAAAGCTAGGAATGCTCTGCTAGATTGCCAAGACAGCTGAGTATTGCAGCAGTGAATTTTTACACTATATTTAAGAATGCCCTGCTAGATGCCCAAAACAGCTGAGCATTACAGCAGATCATTACCTTCCCTATATAAATTGAAATGCCTTTTTGCTTAGCTCACTGTTCACTGCTAACTTCTCACATACGTTGATACATGCTTATTAATTGGTACCACGTAACGAAGTATTTTAGTGCATTTAAATGAAATTAGAAACTGCCAAAACGAATGATTTCTCTGGAAATGAAATGTTCACACTTGTTTCCTTTTCAGAATGATAGAATAGTTAGTATTTTTATGATTGATTATTTTCTTTACAAGTTTTATACAATAGAGAATAGATTTCAAATTGTTTTGACAAAAAATATTCGTTTTTACAAAAAAAACAAAAAACTAAATAAACACTTTATGAAGGCACAACTGTGCAAGCCTTTCCTTTTAAAAGGAAACTTTATTAGATACTGCAATCATTCCGGTGTCAATTTGAAACCGGAAACGGAACTTGCTTATGGTACTTTTGAATCTTATATGCGATGTTACAAGTTATACTTACGTCAATTTCCACGTCCAATCCTGACTTTTCGATCCTTACCTCCTTATTTTGGATAACATGACTGGGACATTTTCACAATAAATTTTGAAAGCTTTATAAAAAGCGAAATATGTCGAAATTTGCGGGATTTTTACGAATCTATAATGGTGATTTTGTCATGACTTTATAGATTTACCCTACGTGCACCTTCCATGCACATGTAATGTCTTAAACCACTTTATGTACATGTATATTTAAGAAAACCCAGGGATAAAATAATTTTAAATGTATATATATATATGAGTACGAACCTTTGTTTTTCGCCCAGAGCTGATTAATAATAATTAAATAAGGCATTGAATGAGTTTAATGAATAAAGCTATATATCTGCCACCCACACATCCCTTAATTAGCCCTGTCCCATAACAAAACATACAATACTGGGCAATTATGGCGATGCGCATTTATTAGTCAGTTAATTAAAAGGAAAACAAAATGTGGTCGTAGATATTACAGTTCATGTACACCAAGCTGTGACAATCGTGTTAACGTTGGAGAAATTACATGAAAGGTCAGACTTGCCGAGGACAAGATTTCCACAATGTTTCACCTATGTTTGACCGATACATTACATGGAGAATTTTTGTAAAGATTAATAATTTGTGAATACACAGTCACTGTACGGCTACGAATGTGACCTTTTCAGGTCATAAAGCACGCCGAAAAATGGTCACTCCCAATATTATACAAGTTTTCCACTCGAAACTATTTGCTTTTTGACCGGGGCAAAGTCTTACCGTTCAAGATTAATTGTATTTTGTGTGTGATTATAATAATTATGTCGTACATTGTACATGTATGGGCAAAGATAAAAAAAGCTCTGTTCCCTTCTGTTTGTTGTAAATTTTGCATAATGCAATATAAGATTTAATCTGCTAATAGATACTTATACTGTCCACTGTGCATTCCAACATCAGTCATCCAAATCGGACATGTGTGTGCCTCTTCGAGGAGCAGCAAATAGGTCATTTACAAAATGAACACCCTTAATATATCTGTATTCAATTTTGTATGATGAATGTCATCCGACATATGAAAGGCCACCTACGCAATTATGCTCAACAGCGAGTATGAAATTCCATCAGTCATAGACATTATCCTTCTAGTTTTCATTGGCGCCTGATACTCCATATGTGTGAGATGCCATCCGAATACACTTAATGTGGTATCCCATCAGTTAAATTTTAATTCGGATATTAATCATAATCCCTTTCGATATACAGTAGAAAAAATACAAATATACAAATGCTTTTAGGGGCTTAAACAGCATTGGCCCAATGGTTTAGTAGGCAATGTTGTTTGAAATAAAAGTTGTAGCTTTGCAGTAGTGAGGTCAAGGTCACTAGCCTTGAAATACTGCCTTTAGTCGCTGGTGGTTCAGATACCATCAAGATGACCTTCTCTCTGAATTATAGTTACTAAAAGAAATTCCTGAAAGTTTTTGCATTCATATTTCATGTATTTGCTTGTCACAATAATTTCAAGGGGCTACCTTTGGAATGAAAATATTTTTCAAAGAAATTAAACAAAAATATTAATACAGAATGACTTTTGAGAGTTTCATGCTTTACAACAACAACAACAACACCAACAACCACCACAGCAACATCAACAACAACAAACAAACAAATAAACAAGCAAGCAAACAAACAAACAAAAAATGAACAAACCAAACAAATGTTCCATCGTGCAACCACTAATCGCAACTTTGCGATATTTTCTGTCAAACCTTGAATGACATCTTTATATTCAACCCCATATTCTCGGCCCTTTCCGTCAAACTTTGAAAAAGGACTATGAATAATAGGCGAAGTGTTCCGAATGCTTTACCAGGCTTTCAGTTTACCAGCAGTAACCGAGTATGTCACTGCATTTGACCTAATCCGTAGTGATAATTAATGGGATAACGTTGTCTTGCTCAACATGTCTGTTTTATTTTGAAATGGCCAGGACTCGCGACGTTTTTATTACACACTTAAGCTGCTGCTATTGAAATATAGGGTTACGATGAACAACTTTTGCAATCTCATCATATGTAAGGAAAGGAACAAGTGTGAAAGGTTTAGAGGCTTGAAATTGTTCAGGATGACACTTCAATTTGACAGTATTATTATAATTACCAGTTGATATTGACAGCTTATTGCGGCCGCTGCATGAAAAAGTGAATCATGAAAAAGCTAATGGTATGCGATAGTAATGAAATGAAGAACTTATTTTATTTGACTTCCAAATATCTTATGTAGTAATGAATAAGTACACTGATCAACTGGAACAGTTGTTTCCCTTAAAAATATTTCAACAGAGAAAAAACAACAACATTTTGTTGTAAAGACATAGGATGGAAATGGTCTTGTCCAAGTGTGATACTGAGCTGGTGCTAGTTGTCGTATTTTTACTTTATTACATTTTGATTATAATTATATAAAAGTTAAAAATCTCAAAATAAATGGCTTAACTTGAACTGAAAAAAAACTTCTACCCGATATATACTGCAATAGGTCTGCGATCCACGGACTCGTATCAATATTCTCCTGAATGTTTTCTACAAGCGCTATCATCAAATTCACTTTGCCTTAAGCCACATGTTCTTTAACAATGATCAAATCGGTCTTACCGAAGAAAGTCATACTTCCAGAACAAATGACTCGTACAATTAAATTAAAGAATATGTTACTATTAAAGCGGCCTTTAGCTGTTTTTGTTGGAAAAACAATGCTGTGTTGTTTCAAACTTAGTATTTCAGTAATTTTACATTGGAAAAGTGCATTATATAACTGTAAGACCTAATTCTAAACAGCGTTCCGAAAGTTATATATAGGGCGCCAGTGGTGTTCGTTTCTTAAAAAAGAAGATGAAATGAATCTTTTACACATGACAATGACAATAGATTTTATTAGCATTAAACATTGTATTAATGTTTATAGCAACAAATGATGAAAAAAATCGAATACACATCCCACATATACAAATGGTGAGCATTAGTGCAAAGACAATAATAACTCCTCTAACTTCCTTAACATTAGTAAATGAAATGCATTTTCAGTAAGCATTTAAGTATTTCTGGTACAAAAAAAGTGATGAATACAATAGCAAATTGTATAAGATTAATGAACAATTAATATTTCTCTTTTAGTTGGCCAAGTATATATTTTGCCAAATTCAATAAAATGCATCTTAAGTAAGCATTAAAGTATTTTTGGTACAAAATTTCCTTTTCCGCCTTTAATTCTTTTGATTTGACAATTATCTGAAACGAGTTAAAAAAGAAAATAACTTATTTAACCTTTAGAAAAACTGGAGGCCGCACTTTCAGATATTGATGAAAACAATAGATTTGTATCGTATGGAGATTGTTATAAGTTAGTGTTTGAAAAAAGGTTGATACAGTTCTAAATGATTCAGTACAAACATTTAAATATGATGAATGATTATATTCTCTTCTAGAACAATTAATTATCGGCTTTATGAATACATGTATATGGAATATCGGATAATACATCTCATACTTGCCACCAACAACATCCATATATAATTATTTCCTGGTTTGTTGTTATTTTTGAACCTCAATACTATCAACATAATTATTTATTGTATTACAAACTTTCCATTATAGACAAATTCACTATATTTTTTTCCCAAAATTTACGTCAGTATACCTGTATTGGGTTCTGTTGATTATTTATAAGTTTCGGGCGGTCAATTAGTAAAATGAAAAGTTCCATGATGTTTCGTTCTGATCTAATGAAGCCCAAGGTTGCAACGACATTATTTGCTATGTTTTTAAGTGGAAAAAGTTAAAAAAGATACAAAACTCATAAAAATAGAATTTTCTTGCTTAATTGTATTTTATTCAACATTACATGTTATGAAAATAATTAATTCCCATACTTTAAAGACAAATGTCTATTTACATAAATGATGACACTTCCAAATAAAATGAATATGCACATTAATTAAGACGGACTAAAAAGGAAATTTTGTCAACGTTAACCATCACGAATAAAGTGTTGATGGTTAAAATGTTGAGTCACACAATGCCTGTATGACATTTGGAGAACGCCAGCGAACCGTGTCTTTACTGACGTTAGGCAAGGCGATGTTTTACTACCGCACTTGTTTTAGCTTTATTACTGAGAGAGCATGGGCGTGTGTTGACAAACTGGCTTTTCATTTCATCTGGATAAGAATATAGCTGGAATACGTGTTTTTTCTTCTCTCCGTAAAATTAAATATAAATTTAAATTGAAAAACATATTTGGACTTGGTACGGCAAAGTTACGGTTAATCTTTTCCTGAATAATTAACAGTGGTGAACATTATGCTTCTTTCAAGAAAAATATGTTGTCAACATATGCCGTTTTTTGTGAAAAGAATTACTTTATAATGATTTTAACATTTTCAATAAGACTGATAAAATTCTTGTGAAAGGATACAAAAACTGATCTTGTTCTTTTTTGCTTTCAAACATTTGGACTGGATATAAAGTTATAAATTTTATTTTGTGGAGATTAGAGACCTTGCTCAAATTTGCAAAGAAAAGACAGAAGTGTATTCATAATATGAATTCCAAATTAACATTAGCGCTGGCGCTATTGGGCTTGATTTTTGAGATCGTGTTTGGTCACGGAGATCACGGGGATGCCGAATCACTCTTCCAGTGGACAACAATTGACTATAACTGGCCTACAAGGGCTGCCAGGGACACAGCTATAAGCACACGCAAGTATGTTCCACTAAATAATGCCATTAATGGAATTCGTGTATATGATAATAAAATATTTGTTACTGTGCCTCGTTTTGGTGATGGCGTTCCATCAACTTTGAACACTTTGATTAATGCTCACCCTCAAAAACGTTTTCTGACAAGTAGAACAGTTCTTCAACCATATCCGAGATGGGACATGCAGAAGGAGGGGAACTGTACAGCGTTTCAGAAAGTTCAAAACATTGAAATAGTTTCCTAAAAAAAAGGAAAAAAATGTATGTGTTTGGGACACTGGGGGCCGCATTTTTGGAAAATCCCCGGGGCCTAAACTTGAAATTTTAAATGTTTTAAAAAGAGAGAAAATTGAGCCCCACCGCCACGTTTTCCCCGGATGAATTGTTTTTCCCCGCGACCCCAAAATTAAAACCTGAAGGGGGACCGGGGGCCCCCCCTGGATTATGTACAGGGGAAGGGTTTGGATATTTAACATCACAAACACTCGTGAATTTAAAAATCTTTGTGTACGACATTAAACCCCGAAAAAATCTTTACGCTTTTAAAAGATGCCTAAAATGGGGCCCCGAACCGAAAAGGGACTGATTTTAAGGTCTTAAACGACGTGGTCCATGTGACAAATGGAGTGAACGGTATTGCAATATCCGCTAATTTTGATTACGTGTATTACAGCCCTATTGCTGGAACAGCTCTATATCAAATTCCAACAAAAATTCTACGGAATGCAAGTTCAGACTTTTCAGCTCATGTCAGAAAAGTGGGCGACAAACCCTCTCAAGGAGACGGCATGATTATGAGTACTAAGAATAGTCTTTACTTTTCGGTGCTGGCTAAAAATGCTGTTGCGATGTGGGAGCTACACAGGGATATTGAAAAATATGGGTCAGAAGGCAAAGTAATGATGGATACGTTAACTTACGAAGCAAATGACCCAACTATGGAATGGGTAGACTCACTTGCTCTTGATTCATTCGGATATCTTTGGTTCACGACAAGTCGTCTGCAATTGTATTTGAACAAGCAGCTGACCAATGACAGCATCAATTTCAGAATTTGGCGCGCTTTTGTGCACGAGCCGAGTTATGCATACTTTGACAGTAGGACTCGGAGTGAGTCAAATCATATCCATAGTCATAACTCCAGTTCGAACATTGAAAGTCATACTTTCGTTCATTTCGCTCTTTTCGCATTATTAATTATGTTAAAGGTGTTATGATATTCGGATGTGTAAGGTTTTTGCCGAAAGTGGCGTGGATGTGATCGTTTAAATGTGCTAGTAAAGAGAACTTTTGAATGTTAAGAAAATGTAGACCTGCAGTTTTGACTCCTTCTATTTCATGATCATTTTAATGGAAGAAGACAACAATACTGCATAAATTTACTAAACCTAGCTCTAACTTATCATTAATAGTTTTGATTATTTCGCCGTATTTTGCGAAATGATATTGTTTTCAAGGTTTAAAACAGTTATTTAAAACGGATATTACAAGAAAACATTATATATGATATGCAGCGTTAAAACAATGACACAGATAGCACAATAAATTTACTTTTTTATTATTGAAAATATTTTAAGTTGAATATACAACTGTAGTTGGTAAGTGAGCATCTTTTAAATTGTTTTAAATTGTTTCTTTTTGTAGCCAAATATATGAGGAATATGTTTTAGGGAGTAATAATAAGTTATAAAGACTCGATGTTGTATATTTCATTTAAAAAAGACTCATTGTTTAACATTCAAACGTGATAGGTGATTTAGTGACATTTATTTGACCGAAGAAGTATTTGACACAATGGCAACGGTTTTGATCATTACATTTCAAATGTCTCGCATTTTACCTATATATTCTGACTATTGTAAATATTAACAAATAGAGGTCATCATTTTCGCTATTCCACCCAACAATATCTTCGTATAAATTCGGCTACGTTCGCCATTTTACGTATCTAAATTTCAAAGAGAGTGCGATTATATCCTGGTCATTCAAACTTTAGAAGACACGGAAAGTGGCGGAAAGAACCGAATTTTTACGAGAGCTTGATTGATGATTTACTTTCCTTTGTATTAACCATTCGGTAGGCATACTCAGTTTTACATTATATGTGTTTCGGATACATAGATGTCAATTTACACTGACAGCTTTATTTTTTTCTTCCTCTCGTATATTTATTTATAAATGTTGATTATTATTCATTTTTCATAAAACGCATTGTCATGCATTTTCATTTTTTTATATACATGTCATTACCAGTGTATGATATTGTTATGTTTTCCTGTAAAAAGGCGTTCTTAACAATGTAAATATGACGTACTCGGAACACTTTTACTCGACAAACTCCTGTATATGCGGTTGACTATTTTCACAATTTTCTTTATGTTTATTATCTTCCGCTTTTTGTTTAGAGGAACTTTTCGGGTTTTAAGGACACAATTCATGCTTTTGCATTCTTCTTTTTACATCGCTTTAACGCCATACAGATCTCTTTTTAAAATGCATGTACGGAAAAACTTGAGGGGGAATGTGAGGAGGAATTAGGTCATAGGAGAGGGCAAGATGGCCTTTGTAGATTCCGCGAGTTTAAAATGCAAGCGTTGGGGTATATGCTCCGCGTTACGTTTGGGGCGGAACAATATCTTAAAATGTGTTCATTTGACGTTAGTTGGATATTGAAAGATTAGTACTTGATACAATGTCCAGGCACAGTTGAGGATCCTGCTCACCTGTGTATAAAGTGATACAAGTGCTTTCGAACTGAAAGAAACATATTTTTTTTATTTTACAGAAATATATGATGTGGTGTAAGTTTTCACTAATTTACACCCGCTAGTCTAACTAAATAACACCTTTTAAAATAAACCCAGACTATACCAGTTCAGCGATTTGCTGGCATCTCGACTTCAGTACCCTATAACCAGTGAACTGTGTTTTAATTAAGTTCAAGACCCTTTCAAATCCGTTATAGTAAATTAAAGTTTAACGCTTGCGAAATGAGAATATCTACGATATAATTCCAGGGAAAATCTCATTTAAATACTTTTGAAATAAAGATTTTTTTTCTCTTTCTTTTCAAATTTAACGGGAGAGAGACGTACATTTGTACTTTTCTGTTTTCGTACTTTGTTACACTTGAACGTATCAAAATAGATCTATGGCAAAATTTAAGGTTATAAAATAAAGATAAAAGCTTCAATGTAAGCATGCAAATCATGATTCGACAAACATTTACGATATTTTAATTTATTTGATCTGGATTGAATCAGGCATGGAATGTATTTATTCGTACAGATTAACCCAAAGGGTCACTATTTAACCCAAAGATATAAATACATCAACTCGTACAGGAAACAGCACATCAACAAAAAGCGTCAGCAAACTGTTAATACTTCCTTTGGTTTTGTTTATGGCTAAATCTGGATCAAGATTAATTCGTGTGTATTGTGCATTTAGTTTCTGTCTATTTTCTTTCCGATTATGTTTGAAATAGATTTTTAGGAGCTACTTTTTATCTTTGTATTAACGTCTTGTTGTTGTTGTTTTTTGTGTGATGCTGCGCAAAATCTGCGCAGTGTAACAAGGCAACTGTTCATGTGATTTATTTTTTTATTTTTGGAAGACGTGGTTTGTTAAATGAAAGAAAGTTTAAAAGCCAATGCAAATGGGGATAAATCATCGTCATGTTTTGAACTGTTGAAGAAATACTTTTTATTTTACTTAAGGTAATGTTTTAAATTTGGAGATTTTGCTTCAACTTAAGGTTAGATAGATTTAACAATAATCTATAGATTACTGTTTTCTTCATAAGTTGTAAGCATTGATGTTTGAAGTTTAGACCCCATTTTAACCAAACATTTGAAATGCCTGATTGTATTTCTTTTTTTAATATGCATTTTTTTAAATTCACATATATGTATTTTGTAGATTTTAAAAATCACATTTGTTTCTTTCAGATATAGTTTTTATTAAGTTTTGCATATTTAAAATGTTGATGTTTAATAGCAAGTGTGAAAGAAAAGTGGTTTGATATCAATTATTTTTTAAGCTTTAAGAAAAAGTTTACAGAAGATTGCATCAACATCAACAATATTTTCAAACAAAATAATATCAATTCATTTTTATCCATTTATCAGTCAGAAAACACTCCATCACTTTCCGTGTCTTATACTTGATAAACAGGGTACGAGGTGACAAAGATTATCTTTTTTGTTCCTTGTCACGTTGACGCTTATTAATGTTCCGTAAGTGCTCCGTAAGACACGAAAATTGACGGAGTGTTCCGAAAATTTAGTATGCACACACAGTGCTTTTGAACATGAAACAAATATTTATAATTGCAATGACTTCTCTCTTTTAACATCATAACCATGTAGTCTGTCAAAATATTGTTGACGATATCTTGCTCTTCTTTATATTTTACGGTAGTGTAGGCACACAGATTATTGAAACAGATGTTGGACATTGCAATATAAATCGTTTTTTTATACCTGTTTTGCATCAACAATGTCACATTGTCTGTGAACATATCGGTTTATGACTATATGAAATATTTCAAATTTCTTTGATCAAACGTTGTTGTTACTGCTGCTGCTGTTGTTGTTGTTGTAAATACTGTTGTTATTAAGATGATTCAATAAATTATCACTGTGCCATTAAATGTTGTTGTTTTATGATAATATGGGTGTAACTTTTAATCCCATTGCAGCTGTAAATGTAAACATCGTTCAAAGACAAAAATAATGACACGAAACTTAACTTACCACCATGTTGGTATATTCAATGAATTTTATTGAAAAATAGAGAAATGGCATGCTTAAAATCCTCCCCAAAGATTTTAAGCACATATGGGTTTTGTGCATTTATCCTTTACCGAACTGTGACGGAAATGGCCGAAAAGTTGCGCTTGGACGGAAAGTTGAAAATATGGGGTCATGCTTAGTCTAGGTTCCACGACACTAAATAGTTAACCTTATAAAACTAGCCCTTAATTTGAAAGGCATTGATTCCTTACCGGAAGTCGAACCGTTAATTAAAGTATGCTTACAAAAAACAAATGTTATGAATAATTTGACATAAAATGGGGAACCGTCTAAAAATACAAAAAAATTGTTCAACTTAATACGGAAATAACATCATCATTCATTGAATAATATCGTTAGGGAAATATGCCGGTTCAATTTACAAAGTCACGAAAAGTGTATTCGAGTAAAAGGACATAAAGCGGAAAGGACATAAAGCGACGAAATTCGGCGGTATTTTGTCAATTAAATTGCGGAAACTATAACTGAGCAGTCTATACCTTTGCAAAACATTATTGTTGTGTCTGAAAAAGTAGAATGGGAAATGGTCGAGGAAGCATTGTGTATTGTAATTCATATTTTGATGACATGTGGCTCATATTACAAACATCATAATAAATTTTATCCTACTCCATTGAACAATAAAACACCGGGGAAACTTACCTTGAAAATGACATTGGCACAAAAAATACGCTTCATAATTGATAAAGTATTTGAATGAAATTAACATATCGGCGAAGATAATACGAGGCGTTTGAACAATACACTGATTATTTTCTTGGGCTGCAGTAAGGGTCGTTGTAACATACCGTTTATTGTTTCTTCAAATGTCATGCATATATCGAGTGATGGATCAACACAATATTATGCTATGTTATGTCATCTTTGATAAACACATAGCATAGTTTCGCGCGGAGTCTTCATTATTTAAAGCTAACAATATAACGTTTAATAAAAAGCTAACATATGGGCACACTTCCAAATATGGTCTGACACATGAGGTTATTAAGCAAGGTTATACCGATCTGTATTATTTTTCGTCGTTTTGTACGAAACTTGCATTTACGGTGTTTCTGTCAAAATAGGAAGAACATAATCATTTGTGTAGTTTTTATGTACTGTAGCAAATTTCAATATGAAAACATAAATTTTGTTGACAAAAGCGACTCTTTTCCGTAATTTAATCTGTCATTTTTGTTAAGTTGTTAATACGGCGCCAGATCTGTGTTGTAAACAATGTTTTGGAAATCATCGTATACTTCTGTCAATTTATGTTTTAATGTCTCATGTTGTTTAACAATACAGAAACAAGTAACAGTAAAATATGTTGGACTGGTAACATTTCTTTCTTGTCAACACAAAAATACAAAAGGGATGTATGCATATGGAATTTACTCTCTCATCGCAACTTTTCGGCCCTTTCCGTCAAATTTCGGATACGGACTATGAGTAATGGAAGAGGAGTTCCGAATGATAAAGCTCCAAGATGCGGTAGGGAGTTATAATGCGGAAATTTAATTGGTGAAACTGCACGGAATGCTTCTTTACCACCGAAACCGTGCCGTTATTTATAGTTTGATTGAAGGGTTTTTATTTCTAGTGGGAAAAATGAAGAAAGACACGTATTCTTTCTGCTTGTTATGGCGTCTTTGACAACATCATTTTCCAATTTATTTCCCTACATTTTGGCCCGTGAACAAAAATCAAATTGCCACAGCGTTGGAAAAAGTGAGAGTTTTGATACTTAACAACCTATCATTTTTTTCCAATGAGTCACTAACATGTAAATCTTGCCAGTGAAATATCATAAATGGATTTGCGATCTTTTAATCTTGGCAGAACCATATATCATTTTAGGATAAATTTCAAAATACACGGATGTAATGATTGAATTGCTAACAGTACAGACCAATCGGTCCCTACTAATCACATAGCTTGTATTTGTTGCCGCTAGTAGGCTACGTCATTAATTTCATTTTCAAGAAAAATATATCTTGACACCTGCTGCTATATGAAAAAAAAAAAACAAACTAAAAAGATATAGAAAAAAGGGAAATGTCTCGAACACCAGAATGCTGGTTTTATTCATATCTAGGAACGGTATTCAGCCAGTTAAGGGAAGATTGATTGTCTCTTAATACATTGTATATGCCAAATTGCCAACATGCATCATCGTGGACGGCATGACCAAATTCACATCTCCAACAAGATTTACAACAAGCACCAAAAGACTAACTTCAGTGTGAAGAATTCGAAAACTTCATACTGGGTCGCTATATTTTAAGGAGCTCTAGTAAGGTCAAATAGCCTGAAAAAATAAAAAATTGATTTTTCCCATAGATCAATTGAAGCAAAAGATAACAAAGAAATAATCAGAATTATACTGACTCTTGATTTTTTGTGCGATTCTTAGCTCAATTATGTGAAAAGCGTTGCAACGCTTTTCATTCTTGTGTAATTTTGCAATATAAAAAAGATCACTCAGAAAAAAACGGGATGCGCGTATCATCTGAAAATTAGCATACAAGTTATTGGTCAAGACTTCAATCAAGTGGTCCCCAAATCTCGGAAAATATTCTCAGTCCCGTCATGACGAAAAACTTCAGTGCAGTCCCTTTAATACTCGTAATAATAGCACCAAAACATATAAATGAAAAAAAAAAAGATTTAGGGAAGTTATGGCTTAATATGTTTATACCTTTCAAAAAACTTTAAACAAGCTCATCTTAGAAAAGATTTAATCTCTGTCCATTTCCTTCTTGTGGCACATAAAATGGGTTTCATCAAACTTACTATTTAGCCAGCATTAACTGACCACTATGCTTTGTTTTTATAAAACAATAACCTTGGTATTTAATTCAGTTGCAATCTGATTAAAGTTAGCTCCTAAATAACGCTAGCAATAAACAGATCTGACCTTACGTCAGATTGCCAGAGATGAAATTAGAACAGAAGACCTATGTGCTATAAAGATCTTCCATTGGTTATCACGAAGCATATTATAGAACATCGTTGGCTATTCATAAAGGACATTTAAGGGATAGTTCATCATGATATAAAGGATAGTTCAGTATGAACATACAAAGGATAGTTCATCATGGACATATAAAGGATAGTTCATTATGAACATATGAAGAATACTTCATTATGAACATATAAAGAACATATAAAGGATAGTTCATTATGAACATATAAAGAACATAATTATACAAAAATAGTTTATCATAAAACTCTTTTATGATATCCTTTTAAAGGCATGATACCTTCAATTGTTCTCTCTAAACTTGCCTTTACTCATCTACTTTTCGTATAATGCACAGTTTCGGATAACAAAACTTCACTTTATAGATGAACACAAATAAGTAGTCAATTCATCTCAGTTTCCAAAATGAAGGGGACAAAAAAACATTAACAAAAACGCTTCGTGGACAAAAAATATACATATTTGTACTTTGTCCGCCTAACTATCTGATCGGCCTTGTCTAGTTAGTAAAACATAAGTGGTTTGTCGGAGACATTAATGAGGAAATAAGAAAACGACGTCTTACAAATTCGCACCTTCGTTACATCATTAACTTCACAAATTTGCCTTAAATCACCGAGCTTGTCAGCCCTCTTTTAAATATCTTAAAATCATTTTTCCATTGTTCATGACCGAAAAGAAAAAAGGACTTATTCATGCGTAGAAAATTGTAACTGAAGACTGTAGCAAATTCAGTATATATAAACATATGTTGACCTTTTTTGATGATCTGTCAGATTTGTTATTAATTTGACATTTTGTCAAACCTGTGTGTTTCGGTAATAATTACACTTTTTGTTACTAAAAATAGAAACGCTTAAAACTTTTTTCCCCAACATGTTGTTGTTGTTGTTGTCAGGAACGTGTGACATTCTAAAGCTGTTGTAAATCAATAAACTAAATATATTACAAGAATTCATGAATCGTTGTACAAATTACAACAGCTGCCATTACGTAAAATGTGGCTGCTCTTAAAAGTACTTTCATCTCAGTCTTGTATTTTTCTTGTCCTTTGGGGTCATTATTTCCAATACTTCTGGTGCTGAAGATCAAATTCTGGTTAAAACCCGTACAAGGACGGTATGGGAGATGCTGCACTGTAAGAACATATTTCATTGCAAGAGTCTGCAATTTTCACCTACATTTTCTTTATATTCTTGTTTTCACTGCTCACAAGCTTTCTCCCCTTTTTTCATTCTATGATTTCTTCTCCTGTCTTTGCAACTGTAATGAAAAAAGATAAGTAATACAGTGCGTATCTACAAGTTGAACGGACGAATACAGATTTTAGCCAATGTCAGATTTGTGTCTTGTTGTCAAACTATGGTATTGTTAATAGCCGAGGTTGTCCAAATTTTCAGGTAAATCAGGGTCTTTCAAATACGTTTACTAGTTCAAATAAATTATGAATATTAATATGAAAATAGTCCTTCTAATATTTTAAAACAAGTGGTTGGACCATCTTTCTGACTTAAATATAAATACGAAACTAAGTTCTGGCAAAATCCCAGGTGATATTGTTATAAATAAAACCTCCCAGTTTCTCAAAGGAAACGAAGCATCGAGGAGCTGTCATCCTACAAGTAAAGCGGACCGAAAGACCTTGTTACATAACTTACACTATGAATCTACGTCTAAAAATTATACGAGTCATTCAAAATTTATTACAATTTCGTTTTAACTGTAAACAAGTCGGATTACGACATAACTGATAAATATGTATGTGCTTGCATAATTAAAACATAAGAACCCGCATAGTGGTCTAAATTTGGCATTTACAGCAATTTAAGGAATATTTATAGGGAGTTGAATTTGAAATAGTGACATTTGGGAACA